ACACAATTACACACCCCTATAGCTCTAATTTAAGAAATGAAGCAAAAAAAAGTATTTTTAGACCATGGTAATTTTTATGGTCCATTTTAAGAAACATGTAAGATGTCTAAATTTGCATGTGGTTGTGGAAAATACCAAAAGTTTACCTCGTGGTACTAAAAATCTGTGATTCCCCCCCCTTGGGAGGCAGACATTTATAATATACAGAGTTGACATTTAAAAAAATGTCAAGAATCATGTGTTGTAATATTAAAAGCATCAGACTTAACTATCAGATTTTGGGTATTTTAAAAATATTTTAAAAAGTTTTATTTTTATATTGTGCTTCCCTAACACAAAAGTAACTTTAAGAAAAACTTCAACTTATCCCTCCCGTCAAATCTCTGATACCTACCAAATTCATTAAAGTTATGTGGACAGAAATGGTGACATGTGTTTCAGCTTAATATTCAGGGTTACCATAAATAACACTGTTATCATAATATTTCATTAATCACACCCAAATGTTGCCTCTCACCAAAAAGGACTAATAATAAAGCTGTTCCTAAAACTGATATTTTAAACCTAGAGTATTGCTGATTTAACCTTGACATCTTAACCTGACTTGTGGAATCTGATTTTCCAGCATTCTCAACATTCAAATGCAGTTACATCAGAAACTGAAACATGTCAGCCTGTAAAAGTGTTAATGAACTTATGAAACAGTATATTGCACATCTTTGTAGTTTCTACAGAATCTATAATGTGTGAAAAACAAAAATTTATGGATGGGAGCAGTGCGAGATCTTTAAAATCTTCTGATTTGAAATACAGTCTGAAAACTTTTCAATCAATTCAGGTCTGTTGTCTTTCAGCGCTTTTCTCTGTTAAATATGATGTATATGCAAATGTGGCTTCAAGTTAGCAATAGCAATCATTTAAAATGACTTGAGATTAATCTTAGAGACATGAATTACTTCTGTTATGAAAAAAGTAAATAATTTATAAGAGTTTAACCCATCTCAGCACATGCACTGGGATTAAATGCCACCCCACGTGTAGTCTTTTTTTAGAAAATAAGGGAAGGTCGTACGTGACATTTTCAGTACTTCTTGTACATTTCAAGGTCAAGGTTAGGAAGGGGTTGTCCAGAGGAATTTTCCCCGTGTCCTTGGAATTCTGTGTTTTCGCTGAAGGAATGTGAAATGGGATTGTAGCTACCCCACGTGTGTGCTAACGTTTCACTTCTAGAGACACTTATCGAGATGAGTGCATATAAGTGAGAACAGCAACGGCTGCAGGATCTTCTCGCTAGTGTTAAAACTGATAGCGAAATTGAAGATTCTGATTCTGAGTGTGATAATATTTCTGACAGTGCTCATAAAACTGATTCTGACCAGGAATCTGACCATTCACATCATTTAGAGAGCATACCTTCTTTGACATCAGCTGATTTTTATGTGGGAAAAGATGGAACAAATGAAGAAAAATTACTCCCGTAAAACGTTCACACAACATAGTGACACATTTATCTAGTGTCAAGAAAAGATTTAGAAATTTGAAAACTTCATCTGAATGTTTATACAAATTTTTTATGATGAAATAATGGAAGATTTGGTGAAATCAACAAATATTTACATTTCATCAATAAGAAATATTTGTTGATTTCAACAACCATTGATTTATTGTTTCATCAATAAAAAGCAAATTCTCTAGAGAACGTGATGCACAAGAGACAAACATAACTGAATTGAAGGCATTGTTTGGCCTATTATATTACACTGGAGTGCAGAGAGCAGCACATCTCAATGCAAAAGATTTGTGGTCAGCTGACAAAAGCGGAATGACTGTTTTTTAAATAACAATGTCTAACAACTGATTCTCCTGTTGAGGGGTATTAGGTTTGATAACATAAATTCACGAGCACAGCGAAAGATGACTGATAGACTTGCACCTATTAGAAACCACCTATTTGGAACCTATTTTGAAAAATTTATCAAAAACATACAAAAAATATATTCCTTATCTGAATATTGTACTATAGACAAAAAATTTGAGCCTTTTCAAGGAAGGTGTCAATTCAGACAATATATAAAAAGTATGCCCAGAAGATATGGAGTGAAAATTTTTGCTTTTTGCTATTCTCATACATTTTACATATATAATCTAGAAATTTATGCAGGTCAGCAGCCTGTTTGACAATATAGACAATCAAATGTGGCATTGGATGTTGTACAAAGACTTCTTGTGCTCATAAGTGGGCATAGGAAGAAATATAACTATGGACAATTGGTACATGAATTATTGCAAAAGCACAAATTGACATGTGTTGGAACACTTCGAAAATATAAGCATGAAATTCCACATGAATTTCTGCTAAATATAAACAGGACTCCATACTCTTCACTTTTTGGGTTTAGAGCTAAAGAATTAACGCTTAATGTCATTTATTCCAAAAAAGAGTAAATGGGTTCTTGTTCTGTCATCCATGCATGAGGATAATCAGATGAATTCATTGTAAAAAGGGCAGCTCAAGCCCAAAATAACTTTTTGCAACTCTATAAAAGGTGGTGTTGATCTGTTAATGAGTTATGTGGAACTTACTCTGATTCAAGAAAATGCGGCCATTGGCCTTTAACAGTATTTTTGCGGACTAATGAACATTGCAGGTACAAATGCTTTTATTATTCATCAATCAAATAATGACCAAGTGAATATGAACCGAAGAGATTTTCTCTAAGATTTAACATTAGAGCTTGTAAAAGAACATTTCCTAAAATGGGTTGCAATTCCATCTCTCTCAAAAGAACTCGAAACTGGAGTAAAAAAAGGTTGGCAGAAATTGAAGATGCAGCAGACCTTCAACCTAAGAAATTCCAGAGAAGGCTTTCAGGATACCATGATATATGTCCCATAAGAAACGATCGCAAAACCTCTGTATCTTGTAAAAACTGCAACAAATTAGTTTGTAAAATACATGTTGTCACACTATGTGAGGATTGTTCAAAATGAGTTAATGTGAATAATTAAACTCAGGTATGATGGGGGGAAAACCCAATGTGTTATTTATTTTTTTAATATTTGTATTTAAAATCTATTCCTTGATATGAATAACTGTATAACATTAGACAGAGTTTAATGAAAAAAAGCTAGTAAGAATGTGCCCTTATAGTATTCCTCTAGTACTTTATCAAACCATTTATGATAATAATAAATTAAGTTTAAAAGTATATATGAAAATTAAGTTTAAGTACATATGAAAATTGATTTTTCTAATATAAGAAATCATTTATATATCTTAATAAGTTAAAAATTGGTTGATCTTTACATTACGGTAACTTGGCGTTTTTTTGGCAACCAACTCTCCTACAGCAACCATCTATTTTTTTTTCCCGCCGCCATTTTGTCTTCACGAAGTAAAGACATGTTTCTTTTCTTTTTATCTACTGAACACTTCTTCCAACAATCTACTAGCTGAATTACACTTATGCTAGAAATTTTATCTAACAAAACTGCTTAATCATGACAAATATTCACTGCAAAATTGGGAAAAAGTGCACAATACCATACTCCTTACGCGTTTTTCAAAACAACACATACACATAAACCATGTACACGCCGACTTATTTTTACTTAAAAAAACATCCCAGAATTGCACAAAAATGGCACTGCGCACACTCTTCACTATATTCATGTACACTGCTTTTTTCTCATAAATTAGAAAAATTTCACGAAAATGCATGACAATTTTCTGAATCTTTAAACCCGGTAAAAAGAACATATATGAAATTACCTGATCACGAAAAAGTATTTACCCTTTCCAAATATGAACATTTCCACATATAAAATAAATAAAATATCCAAAAACTTTTACCTCTAAATCATCTATTACATTATACACATCACCAACGAATTCATACCGCAAGCATTACAAATACTTAGTATCAAATATTTAAATTATTTCCATGCACGTTTACTTCAACTTAAACGTGTACCAAATTCCTACAAACATAAAATTCACAAAATAACTATCATTTAATTAAAATATCACTAAACCATGTACACGTCGACTTATTTTTACTTAAAAAAAATCCCAGAATTGCACAAAAATGGCATTGCGCACTCTCTTCACTATATCCATGTACACTGCTTTTTTCTCATAAATTAGAAAAATTTCACGAAAATACATGACAATTTTCTCAATCTTTAAACCCGGTAAAAAGAACATATATGAAATTACCTGATCGCGAAAAAGTATTTACCCTTTCCAAATATGAACATTTCCACATATAAAATAAATAAAATATCCAAAAACTTTTACCTCTAAATCATCTATTACATTATGCACGTCACCAACGAATTCATACCGCGAGCATTACAAATACTTAGTATCAAATATTTAAATTATTTCCGTGCACGTTTACTTCAACTAAAACGTATACCAAATTCCTACAAACATAAAATTCACAAAATAACTATCATTTAATTAAAATATAATTAAATTCAAAAACACTACTTAAAATATAAATGAGCACATACATTAAATTAATACATACATAAATACCTATTTCGAATTCACTTTAGTTACGGCCATGGGATCCAAAAATTCACAAACACTGTTTCACACAACACAGAATAAAGCCAAATACAAAATTTCCAGATTTTTTCCCAATTTCCCCCCTTTTCCGATTAAAGAACCGTACTTCTTCCATTAATATCACATGACATATCCCATGATCTCTCATTTCCCTCACACAAAATAATGCGTAATCGGAACTGAGTACTGCTCACATTATTACCAAAGTCCCAGGTAGTAACCTTTATCGCCTCCAAAATGTCGCCAAACTACCAGTTACCATATTGTAAAGATCAACCTAAAAATTTTGCATAAATTTAGATTTTTATGGCTTATGTTAGGTAAGTAATATGGAAATGATTGTAAAGTAAGATTATCTAGAATTAAAAATGGAAAAAAAAGTTTCAACATACTTCACATACATATAGTCACATATATACATTCATTAAAAAAAGAAATGAAAATGTGTTTATTTATATGTTGAGGGGAGGACTCTGAACAACAAATACTGGGGTAAAACTTGTCCTGTTGCATGTAGTAACGTAGCACAATGATGTGCGTGTGCTGAAGGGGACAAGTTGCAAATTTCATGTTATGTGGTTTCTTTACTTTATCGAACAACTTCTTATGGGATAGCACAGACATGTAAAATTACTTAATAATGTTTCTCTCAAGCTATAATGAATAGGTATGTTCCTTCAAATTCTTCTTTTGTCAGAGAGTATTGTTACACATATATCTCACAGTTTCTTTCCTGTGTGATTCAGCACATGCCTGTTTAAGTCACGTTTTACTCTAAATGATATGTTACATACCTCACACACATGAGGTTTTTGTCCTGTATGAATAAGCATATGCTCATTTAAATCATACTTTCGTCTGAATGATTTGTTACATACCTCACATATGTTAGGTTTTTCTCTTGTGTGACCAAGTATATGGTCGTTTAAATGATCCTTTTGTGTGAACGATTTACTACATATCTCACACACATGAGGTTTCTCACCTGTGTGAATAAGCATATGCTTATTTAAATGACTCTTTACTCTGAATGATTTGTTACACACCACACAAACATGAGGTTTCTCTTCTGTGTGAATAAGCACATGCTTGTTTAAATCTCGCTTTTGTCTGAAGGATTTATTACACACCTCACACACATGAGGTTTCTCTCCTGTGTGAATAAACGTATGCTCAAATAAATCATACTTTCGTTTGAATGATTTGTTACATAGCTCACATACATGAGGTTTCTCTCTTGTGTGAATACGCTTATGCTCATTTAAATGATCTTTTCGGCTGAATGACTTGTTACATACATCACACACATGACGTTTCTCTCTTGTGTGAATAAGCATATGTTTGTTTAAATCGCACTTTTGTCTGAATGACTTGCTACATACCTCACATACATGAGGTTTCTCTTGCGTGTGAATAAACATTTGCTCATTGAAAGTGTCATTTAGTTTAAATGACTGATTATGTACTTCACACATGAGGTTTCTGTCCTCTATGGATATACCTGTATCGTTTAAAAGTGTTTTTCTCAAATGATTCAATTAATACCTTCTAGGTATGGACTTTCCTTCCTATACAGAGAATTGTATACTGATTACGGCGATATCATATACCTTGATGCATAAGAGACAATATTCACATTCCGCATGGATATAGAAGGATTGAGTTAACAACAATTTTACTTTTGTAAACTCAAGAATAGTTTTTGGCTGCTTCACACTAGCTTTGATATCTTGCTTAAACACACGTAATTATTTTTATAAAAATATTAGCACATACTGCACATGCATAGTATCGGCTGTTTGATATAAACTTGCACCCACTTTCAGTAAGATTTCATTAAAAATTTATTTCACACACACATGATTTCCTACTCGATTGTAAAGCCATGCTTAAATACGAGTTTTTACATATGTTACATTGCGATTACATAAAGTTTTAATTTTCTAAAAATTCTAATAAATTCCATATTTCAGCAGACACGATTTTCGAAACAGTATGGTGCACAAGAAAAAGGAAAAAAAAAAACTTGATATTAAGTTGCCAGGCGCACTCATTATTCACTGCATACGTAAACATTACCGATTATCGGAAACGCTGGGCCCTTATTGCCAAAGGAAAACAAAAAGCTTTAAAAAAAATTAAATGATACTCGGATATTCTCCGGAGAACAGCCTTGATTGCGCCAACTTCGCTGACATTTCATCATGCCAACGGAACTAAATATCATGTGAGGAATAGGCGCTAAGAAGAAAAGGACAATATATGGAAAAAAGCGGGATTAAGACGTGTTTATATTCGTTTGGTATCTGACTGCTAATTTGGTTCTGTTATATTGCTAAATTAGCATTAAAAATCGAGTAATGTGCGGGTGAAAGTGCGGAATCGCCCCCTGCTTGGCGCGTTTTTAAGAATTGCACATACGCTGTACCCATGTACACGTCGACCTATTTTCACTTAAAAAAACATCCCAGAATTGCACAAAAATGACATTGCGCACACTCTTGACATTATCTATGTACACATCGCCTTTTCTTAAAAGCAAGAAATTGACAAAATCAATCTCTTACTCTTGTAAATGCGCTACAAAATGGCGATCTGCATTCGCCTAAGGCTAATGTCACATGTTCAGAATAGCTACTTTAGGCCTATTCTGGATTGTATATTTAAACTTTGCTGCTTTAAACCAAGTATGAAACTTAGTTGTTCGAAGACACAGAAAATATATAAATCAAATATATTTAAAACAGTTCGTTCAGTTGCGGGCCTGCCTCTACCCGAGGCTGGGTGCATTATGAATAAAGACAAAAAATTCTTAATAAATCATTCTTTATTTCCATCAAAACAGTATCACTCTTCCGAGATCAGCTTTCGTTCGTCTACACGCAAAACATTCGAAAACACTCAGCACGCAGGCTGACGTCACAAACAGCAGCGCCTCGCGCCGGTTATTACTTCAGTTCATTTCACAACATCCTCCCCCCCCCCTTGAGACTCAGGTTGAGTCTCAAACTCATAACAAACATTATTTAAAAGATCAAGTCTTTTTGGAGCTTTTACAAGTCGTCCAGAGGAGGAATATTGTTGCATCACCATTTTATCAGGTGCAATTCCCTTTTTTAACGTACACCCAGCACTAGAATTAGATTCCTCTGCACCCAGTTTCTTATCAGGAATTATGTTTCTATCATTGGACTGTATCTCCAGAGGAAAGATGCGTTGTATTGGTCGTATAACTATTCCATGCCGGGTCTTAAGTTTAACCGTACGAATCTTTCCATCACGTCCAGGGATCAATTCTGTAATTCGGGCTAAAGGCCAAAATAAACGTTTTCTGTTATCATCCCCCATCAGTACTATTTCTCCTACTACAGGTTCCCGAGATCGTTTTTCATTATGCTTTTGAACCAGTTGACTAAGGTATTCTTTTCTAAATCGTTGTCTCAGATCATTTAACAATTTAGTTCTATACTTTAATCTCTTATTAAGACTTGACGAATTTAATTCATCAAGATCTTCAACATTGGAATTTCTGTTCTCGATAAGAAACATGGCGGGTGTCAGAGGTACTAATTCTTGCGGATCTTCAGAAACATAAGTTAAGGGTCTAGAATTAATTATAGTTTCACAATCACAAATAATAGTATAAAGTTCTTCATATGATAACACTGATTTACCTAAAGTACGTTTTAGCAATTCTTTTACTGTACGAACCAACCTCTCCCACCAGCCACCCCACCAAGCTGCAGTAGGTGGAATAAATTTCCAGATTATCCTTTCAGTTCCTGTTTCCTTTAATACTTTAGCCCAATTTAGTTTTGATAAATCATTAGATGCACCCCGAAAATTTGTCCCGTTATCACTATAGATTATTCTAGGGCGTCCGCGCCTAGCAACAAATCGTCGAAGCGCCAGGAGAAACGCATCAGTAGAAAGAGAATTTACGAGTTCAAGGTGAATGGCACGGTACACAGCGCAGGTGAACAGCGCGATCCACACCTTTCCTCCATTTTTTAAAAACAGCGGTCCGGCCAAATCAATCCCTATGATTTCAAATGGCGCACAATCCGTAACTCGGTCTGGCGGCAGAGGTGTCGGTTCGCTTGACATAGCCTTAGTTTTAAATCTTTTACAAACGATACAGTTAAAGAGGACATTTTTAATGGCCTTTCTAGCTCTGACTATCCAAAATCTTTCTCGTAATATGCATTGCATCATCTGAAGACCAGCATGACAGTTCTTATTATGCACATTTCTGATTAATAACTTAGTGAAATCACATTTTTCTGGTAACAGTATTGGATACAGAAAAGATTCATGGTCATCTCTATTTAGTATTCTCGTTTTAACTCTTAGAATACCATCATCATCAATGAGCGTTTCAATAAAATTATAAGATTTCTTATCAGTCAGATAATAATTTTGAACCAAACGAATTAAATTTTTCTCAGAATTTTCAATTTCATACTGTGAAAGTTCAATGTTTCCATTCTTTTCAGAACCACCTTTACAATTATTTACAAATCTAAATATCCATGCAAATACTTCTAATCATTTTATCATAATTGGATACACTGATTCGATGCCAAGGGGGTGCGTCTTTTGATAGATCAATATTCACTCTTTTTATCTTTTTTCCTCTCCAATTCTACTTCTTCATGCAAATAAATAATCTCACCAGTGGGCCAGTTTTCAGGGCCTTCTCGCAACCACAAGGGGCCTTCCCACCATCTAGACCGAAGCATTTGCTTCGCAAAACATCCGCGCGACAACAAGTCGGCAATATTTAGTTTCCCTGGGATATGTCTCCATGAATGACCTCGCGTCAACTCTCGAATCTCTTTAACCCTATTTTCGACGAAAACGGACCAATTTCCTTGCTCTGTTATCCACCAAAGGGCAGTGGTTGAATCAGACCAGAAGGTAACTTTTAAATCGGGCAAACTGAGAGCCTTGATAATAGAATTTGCAAGTCTAGAACCTATACAACAGGCCATTAATTCTAAGCGAGGAATGCTTAAAGATTTCAAAGGCGATACTCTAGACTTCGCCCGTACGAGATTTATTTTTACTTCAGAATTAAATATTGATCGAACAAAGACGCACGCTGCATACGCCCCCTTGCAAGCATCCACAAATACATGTAGTTCAGACGTGTCATTGATAAACAAGTATCGAGGCAAAGTAACATCTTTCAAAACATTAAGTTCTTTAAACCAGTTCAAAAATATATTTACATCATTCGGAGACAATTCATCATCCCATGCAATTTTCACTTTCCACAATTTTTGCAACAACAGTTTTGGAAGCAATGTAGTTGGCGTTAATAAACCAATAGGATCAAAAATTGTCTGCACAATTGCCAAAATTGTCCTCTTTGTGATTTTCGTATCACAGGTCAATGTATCTGTGTCTGTGCAGCACCTCAGCGTATCATTATCCAAATTCCAAATTACCCCCAAAACGGAAGTATCCCCTGAATGTTTGTCAACATTTGTACCAGCCACATTGCTTTCAAAACCGCGCAAGTTAAAACATCCATTTGACATGATTAATTTGGAATGTTCAATAAACGTAAACTGTTCATCAATACTAAAAACACTAGATAAACAATTATCCACATAAAATGACGATTTCAATTTTTGAGCAACTTCACTATATTGACGTGGACAGTTTTCTAATAGATGCATTATAGATGCGTTCAACAAGTAGGGGCTCGAAGAAACTCCAAACACAACTCTGCAATGCCTATAAATTAATTGCTCCTTCATTGCATGGGAAAAAAAATCTGAGAAAATCTCTATCTTTAGATGCGACGGATAACATTAAAAAAGCCTTTTCAATATCGGCACTAATACCAATCGGATACATTCTAAAACGATCTATAATATCAGGTATTAATTCAATAAGATTTATTCCTTTACACAAACATTCGTTCAAAGAGAGTTTCCCTTTCTCAGATGCAGAAGCGTCAAAAACAGGACGAATTTTCGTGGTTTCACTTCCTAATTTGATTACAGGCCTATGCGGCAAATAATGACATTCATTATTCAGTTCGTTTTCTGGTACGCGTTCAATAATATTCAACCTTTCCCATTCCTTGAACACATTTTGATAATCATCGAAAAATTTACTACATCTGAGTTTATAGATCATCTTTTGATACCTTTTCCAGGATAATTCTTTATTATCGGTTAAATGTGTCGTATCACATTTCCACGGAAGTTCTACTTCATATCTTCCATCTGGAAGAATTTTCATTTTGTTCTCAAATTCAGATAAATTAAAACTTTCATTCATTTTAACAGTTTCGTTTGGAGCGCATATTCCTATTTTTTCAAGTTCCCATAACTCATTCAGAGGAATTCTCCTGACATGCATTGAAAATGTTTTCAAAATATTATCCTTTTCACCCGAATTTCGTTTTCCAAATACCGTCCACCCAAGTTTCGTTTCGACAGCCGTTACCCCGGACTGTAATTCAATAGAATTTCCCGTCAATAATTTTCCTATAACATCTGCTCCGATTAAAAGGTTAATTTCAATTTCCTTTCGCAATGGATCAGAAAATTCGATTTCTTTTTCTTTTAATTCATTCAAAATCTCTTTATCTTTAACCTTAGGAATAAAACCGCAAATCCTTTTTTCAGAAAGTGCTTCAAAACTACATGCGAAAGTTCCTTTCAAATTGCTGACCTCGACCGAAAACACTTCATGTTGTTTAGGTTTCGTTTCGTCCCCCCCAAACAGTGCATGTATAACTGTCTCCTCCCGAAGTGGAGATGCTTTAAGCTGACTCATCATATTTTCACTAACGTAGCTACTTTGGCTTCCGCTATCAATTATGCAGCGAATAATTTTCTCGCGACCTTGACACCGAATTCGAACGCAAAGCGTTTGCAAAAATACAGTTTCGCTTCTGCCACAGTTGGAAAGAGAACTCTCTTTTGAAACATTTATCTGATCATTATTTTTTAGCTTTTGATTACACATTACATCAAAATGATTACAACTTTTGCAAATAGAACAACTTAACTTACCTTTGAAAGGACAAAATTTACTAATGTGACTCGCTCTTTTCAGACAAGAAAAACAAGCACCTTTTTTCAACAACAATTGTTGTTTTTCAGCTAAAGTCATTTTTTTTTTTTTGCAGAGTAACATTTTTCACTAAAATGTTTCTTTTCACAAAAATTACAGTTCGGAACACTCTTACCTGAATTCTCAAGACTTACTAGAGCTGATGCTGTTACGGGATCATTTTGCTTTACCTGTTCGTGGTTAAAATCTTTCTTCCGATGGTTCTGTTGGGAAGCGAAACCAGTTCTTGCGAGGAGAACCATCTCTTCCCCCTTAACTTCCTGTTTTAAGAAATTCATTAAATATTTCAAAGATCGATTCCCTTTAGTTTCAATGGAGTCGTGATTTCTGCTTCTTTCCCATGCC